CATTTTCACCCAACTTGTCGAGTGTAGCCACTTGACTCATCGAATTCTTCCAAAACTCGAGAAATTGTGAAAAACCCTGGTTAACTCGTCGAGTTTCCAAAAAAACTCATTGAGTCCATGTGGCATTCAAATGTCGGGAAAAAATCTAACTAACTCGTCGAGTCATCTGACTTACTCGCCGAGTCCATGCAGAAACCATAAACGGCCAATCTTCATCTGACTCGTCGATTTAACCATGCAACTCATTGAGTCCCTTCAGTCTATTTCTTATTGAGACGTTTTTAAGCTATCCCAAAGCTCTAAAATGTAGATCTAGCTTCCTAAGGCATAGTTACCACGTTAAGTTGCAAACTTTATGTGCATGCAAGATCTTAAAGGCCAACACCAAGCTAAAGAAGGAGTTTTAGGTAAGAAGAAGGCCATAGTTGCTAAAGACTTAGAACTTTATGACTATAAGGGGCTAGAGGAGTCCATATCTAAAGTCACAACTTCATATCATGCCCAAAACCAGAAATAACTACACAACATACTAGAAATAGCCCTAAACCTTTGCATGAAGAGATATAACTAGAGAAAAGCCAAGGTAACGACCTGTTACCTTCAAGATGATGCTAAGATGAAGTGGAAATTAGATCCACAAGCTTCTCCTTGCTCCAAACTCTTTAGACTTCAATCTTTCTTCACAAAATCCCCTTCCAAGCTTCTTACCACACAAAATGGAGAGTAGACGCGATTAGGGTTTTCTGAGCTCAAGGGGGACGGTAACGGAGGCAGAGGGAGGCTAATGACCCTTTAAATAGGGTGTAAAACCCTAGAAATTAGGGTTTTCTCATTCAGCTCCTACTCGTCGATATGGGATCCTCGACCTCATAAATCATGCGGGCTGACTAATCTCTACACGGTGAGTTGGGACCTCCAACTCGTCGAGTAGGCTTCTTTAATTGCATAAAATCCCTAAAATCTCATTCCCGGAAATCGGGATGTTACAACTCTCCCCCACTTGAACTATGCTTCGTCCTCGAAGCCTACTGCAGTGGAAAAATCCAAATAATGCTCCCGCATCCTAGCCTCCGGCTCCCAAATCTACTTGGATCCCCTCCGATGCTGCCACTTGTACCTTTACTAAAGGTATTTCCTTGCTATACATAACCTTTACCTTTCTTTCCCAAACAGCCACCAACCTCTCGACGTAATTCAAGCGCTCATTGTCCTGAAGATCACCCAATGATACCTTGACACCCTCATCTGACACGTACTTTCGCAATTGCGAAATATGGAAGGTGCTAGGACTCTAACTGAGCTCCTCCGGAAGACCCAGCTAATACGCCGCCTTGCCAGCCTTGGCAATACCCAAAATAGCCTGATAACTCGGGAACCCAATTTTCCCTTCTTCCTAAAGCGGATCACACCCTGAAACCTAAAATTCTCACAAGAACAAAACTATAGATTGCATGTTGTCGCCGATAATTCTTTGCTGGTAATAGATTATGTATTCTTTCAAGGGAAAGCTCATTCAATGAGTGGATTTCCAGGGATAACACGAACCACGAGAGGCAAATTGGGAGATGAACCATTTTTGTGCTGACAGGATAAAGCTTCATTCAGCTCCAGAACCTACATGTAGTAGTAGACAACTGCTAGCGCATAACCACAAACACCCACGACTGGCCCGATGAGCCTCGGGCTGGAATATCAATGTGTCGAGTCCAATAAAACACCGGATTGAAATTCTCAAGGTTTGTTGGCCTACCACCTCAACCCTACCGCTCCCCCTGAGCTTTCGTGCCTACAACTTATAGTTGGCCCCCACTGGGTATCTTGACCTACTGCATAAAGTAGGATCGCCTCACCCCTCCAAATACAACATGTCGCCATAGACAATTCGTAGAAAGATCTAACCCAGTTCCTAGAACCTGAAATACATGAACATTCTAACCCAACAAACCTCGATTTCACCATCGATAACATCACTCCGTTTACCTGAAACTCGTGACTCACACTACAAACCAAATATTCCCCATTTATCTCACTGACTTGTAGAATGCATGCTTCACACGGACACACTCACGATTCTAAATGCAATTTTCCACTATCAGCCATTCTGAAATGGCCGTCCACGAATACACATGTTACACCAAAACCTTAGCATACCCTTGATTCTCTGTTACATCATTACCAACCTTCAAAGTGATGGAAGAAGATGATCAAACCAAGAACATACGCATTTTATCTGATCCCTAACAACTTGCGAACAATTTGGAATACGGGGCAAACATTTCACTGATTCAATCTGATACTTGACTGACACTCCCAACGACCATTGACCGTTCCCTATCCAAACCAACTAATTAATGTGTCTTCCGATCCCCATCAACGCGTCAATACTGGGAGTATCGCAAAGAGATTAAATGATCAACCATGGCCATTTGGCCTACAGCTCATGATTGGAATCCCCCTACCAGGTCCTCAGTATATGGCTGAAATGCTCCTAATCTCATACCGACATTATCGGTATTACATTACTTGTCCATCCCTATGAGTCCTAGAGATACTCTCCTCCTTTCACTGCCTTGAGGGGACCTAATCGCCATCCCACACAACACCAAACAAGTATCACAATACAGAAATCCTACCATACACGATTTCCTTATAGAACAAATTAATGCCCAAGAGTTTTCAGGCTCTCCTACATGACCAACAACATTCCCTAAGGGCACTTCTTAGGTAATAACCACCAAGCACAGCTAACATACAGTTCCACAGGTTATTATCACAAAGCATGACCACCTCAACCTAACCCCCAATCAAACAATCATGTGCACATAAATATCATATACTAGCATATATAACAGTCAAACCGATCAAATAAATCACTAATCATAGCATCATCCTATATACCAGGATACCGAACTTACAGGTTACTAACATAGCATCATCATATATACCAGGATATCGACCTAACAGGTCACTAGCATACCATCATCCTATATACCAGGATACCGACCTAACAGGTCACTAACATATCAACATGCAATAAAGCTGGATACAAATCTAAAAAGGGTCGGCATTGGTGCCTTCGACCCTGTTAGTATAATGAGGACAACTCACCTCACAATGTCGATCGGAACCGGAATGTCAAACTCCCAAGATACGGCTCCAAAAACCGACACCTACAACCACCAATGATCAACTTCCATAAATTCCTAATTTACCAAAATACCCTCAGAAGTCAACTGGTCAATCTTTGCCCAAAGTCAACGTCAATGGTCAAGGTCAACAGTCCATGTTGACCCAACTCGTCGAGTGTAGCCACCTAACTCGTCGAGTTCTTCCAGAACTCGAGAAATCGTGAAAACTCTAGTTGACTCACTGATTTTCTAGACAACTCGTCGAGTCCATGTAGTGTCCAAATGTCGAGAAAAACCCTAACTAACTTGTCGAGTCATCTCACTGACTCGTCGAGTCCATGCAGAAACCAAAAACGGCCAATCTTTATCTGACTCGTCGAGTTAACCATGTAACTCGTCAAGTCCCTTCAGACTATTTCTCATTCAGACGTTTTTAAGCTATCCCAAAGCTCCAAATTGTAGATCTAGCTTCCTAAGGCATAGATACCACGTTAAGTTGCAAACTTTATGTGCATGCAAGATCTTAAAGGCCAACACCAAGCTAAAGAAGGAGTTTTAGGTAAGAAGAAGGCCATAACTTGTTAAATACTAAGAACTTTATGACTATAAGGGTTTAGAGGAGTCCAGATCTGAAGTTACAACTTCAGATCATGCCCAAAACCATAAATAACTCCATAACATACTAGAAATAGCCCTAAACATTTGCATGAAGATATCTAACTAGAGAAGCCAAGGTAACGAATTGTTTCTTTCAATATGATGCTAAGATGAAGTGGAAATCAGATCCACAAGCTTCTCCTTGCTCCAAGCTCTTTAGACTTTAAGCTCTTTTCACAAAATCCACCTTCCAAGCTTCTTACCACACAAAATGGAGAGTAGACGTGATTAGGGTTTTCTGAGCTCAAGGGCAACGGTAACGGAGACAGAGAGAGGCTAATAACCCTTTAAATAGGATGTAAAACCCTGGAAATCAGGGTTTTCTCATTCAACTCCTACTTGTCGAGTTGGGGTCCTCCGACTCGTCGAGTAGACCTCATAAATCACGCGGGCTAACTAATCTCTACACGATGAGTTGGGTCCTCTAACTCGTCGAGTAGGCCTCCTTAATTGCATGAAATCCCTAAAATCTCATTCCCGAAAATCGGGATGGTAATTGAGCCGGCTGCATAGAGCAAGTGATTACTTTGCATATATTTTTTTTAGATAAGTAATATATCCTCTTACTTTTTTGTTCTATCCACAATTCTACCCATTTAATATATTTGTTTGTTTTAAAAAGATAAAATAGATTTATTCTTTTTTCATGACTACTGAAAAGATATCAAAATTCTTCTTCTATTTATATAAAAATTGGTTTGTTTTTTTAGACGAGTGGATAAATTTTATTTTTTATTATGCAAAATGCCAAATTTCGAAATCAAAAAAAAAATTATAAAAAAAATAAATCGGGAAAACAAGAAAATAAGAAATCAGCAACCGAAAGGTGTGTCTCATTGATTTTGCTTATTTGGCAACTGATGTGGCGCTGCTAACGTGCATACTAAAAGAATATTAGAAATCAGCAACCGAAAGGGGTGCGAATAAATCCAAGCTTAGACAATTGAAGTGTAATGCTAACTCCATTTCTATTTCTTTAAACTTGTTTGTTGCAAAAAAGAAAATACATTGCCCATATGTGCATCAAGAGTAAAGTTGCTAACTTTTTCAATTTTCCCTAAACAATATATAGAATACTATTGAAAAACAATACATGGTAAAGACTCATCCCATTCCATTCCTTAGTGATTCCATTCCATCCATCCAACCAAACACACAAAAACAAAATCAAATCACTCACTTCCATCAAAACACACATATAACGAAAACAAATCATCACCAAAAATCTCCACACGAACACTTTCCATCTTTAAACAAATGAAACCGAACTAAATCTCTCACAAGAATCTCTCTCTTTGTGATCTTTGAAATCAACTTAGTTGCATTATGACAATCCCCACACACCCTCAAGTTTTTAACAACTCTAATAGTCATGCCCTTAGGAATAAAAATCAACCCAAAAGCAATAGCAAGTTTTTCACTATGATGATTAAGCATCCTTATCTTTTCACTCTCTTCCACATTATGAAGAGCAAATCTTACATCAGGAACATACCCTTCTTCTATCATCTTAATGTTTAACTTCTCAAGCTCATTATAAATCTTATCTAAATAAGGACTTGATCTATCATCAGCTGAAAAAACATGCACTTTGTTTTTATATTTAATCCAACTAAACCCCGGGGTTTTTCTTATATCTTTATCTCTCATTTCACTTTTTAAATTCGCCACCTCACCCCATATCCCTTTAGCAGCATACATTTCTGATAACAACACATAACTTGCAGGATTCTGAGGCTCTAATTCTTGTAAACACTTTGAAGCCCATTTACCGATTTCAAAATTCCCATGAGATCTACATGAACTAAGTAATGTAGATAATCCAAATGCATCAGGGGAAAAAGGCATATTATTTATAAAACATTTAGCTTCTTCAATATATCCAGCTCTACTCAATAGATCAATCATACAACTATAATGATCAGAAACTGGAACAATTCCATGTTCTTGTGACATTGATTTGAAATATTTTTTACCTTTTTCAACTAATCCTGCTCTACTACAAGCTGAAAGAACACCTATAAATGTTACTCCATCTGGCTTGAGTTGACTAGTCAACATTTTTTCAAAAAGATCGATTGTTTTATTAGCTTCCCCGAATTGGGAATACCCTGTAATCAAAGAAGTCCATGACACCTCATCTTTGACTTTCATTTCATTAAACATTTGACTGGATTTCTCAATTGTTCCACATTTTCCATAGAAGGATACAAGTGAATTGGAAACAGTTATGAAAGAAATCAAACCTGAAACTTGTGCATGACAATGAAACTGTTCACCTTCTTCTAAACTAGAAAGATTCCCACATGAACTTATGACACTTCCAAGTGTAAAGTCATCTGGATGTATTCCATTTCTTTGCATTTCACAACAACACCTTATTGCTTCTTCACAATGACCATTTTGCCCATACCCCACTATCAATGCAGTCCAAGAAACAATGTTTTTGACTTTCATTTTACTGAATACTGTTTCTGCATACTTTACATGTTTGCATTTTACATACATGTCAACAAGGGAGCTTCCAACGTATACATTGTCCATGATATCAGTTCTTATGATGTATGCATGGATTTGGGAACCTTCTTTTAGAGACAGAGTTCCTCCACAAGCTTTCAAGATGCTTCCAATTGTGAACTGATCTATACTGAATTCTTGCTTTCTCATTTCTCTGAATATATCGATTGCTTTTTTGGATAAACCGTTTTCGGTAAACCCTGTAATCATGGTTGTCCAAGTGATTGAATCTTTTTCAGGTGTGAGATGAAATAATTGCTCTGAATCTTCAATCATGCCACTACGGAGAAGATTGATAATCATTGTGTTATACATTACGATATTTCTCTCAGGCAATTCATCGAACACTTGTCTTGCATCGTTTATAATACCTGCTTTTGAGTACATTTCAACCAATGGACTACCCACAAATACGTAAGATTGAAACCCATGAGATACTATCTGCGCATGAATCTGTTTACCCAAATCAAGAAACCCGTTGTTTGTGGATAAACTGAGCATAGTCGAAAATGTAATCCTATTCAAATTCACAGATTTTCCGTCTTTTAACATCGACTTATACGCCTTTAATGCTTTATCACAAGAACCAAAAGTAGCGTAACCGGAAATAATTGAGTTCCATGAGACACCATCTCGTTTCGGCATGCCATGAAAGATCTTTTCCATTTCCAGTAGGTTCCCTGATTTCGAATAAGCAGAAAGAATGGTGTTCCATGAAAAAAGATTTGGTTGAGGAATTTGATCAAACACTTTGCGTGCATAAGTAATATTCCCTAATTTGTGGTAACTGCTGATGAAATTATTGAGCAAAAAGGTCTCGATATCTACTATGGTTTTAATTATAAAGCAATGGAGCTTCTTTGCTTGAAGTTGGTTACGGGTTTCACAATAGAGCTTGAGCAGTGAACAGTAGGAGTTTGATACGGAAATACACATGCTTTAATTTAGCGGGTAGAACTCTTTGATTATCAAAGCGCTAAACGCTAATAAAAGTCGTCAACTTAGATTCATGGTCCCAACGCACCAAATATATCGTGCAAGTGTAAACGATTCTTCGAAGAAAGGGGAAGCAAACAGATCATTCCATAAAATCGTGTCTAGTTAGAAATATGAAAAGCATTGAACAATTCACTGAAGAGTAAATTTCTGAAATTACACCTTTGGTTTTAACTTTTTTTCGGATCGTCCTATGGTTTGATTTTGTTGCGTTTTCCGTCCCTATGGTTTGATCAAAATTGCACATTTAGTCCCTAAATTTATGTATGTAAATGACAAAAAACGCAATAAAATTAAACCGCAGTGTCGATTCGAGTGGAAAAAAAAAAAAAAAAAAAAAAAAAAAGGTTAGGAACCAAACATGCAATTTTGATCAAACCATAGGAACGATTTCAGTAATTTACTCTTCCCTAAATAATATTATCATTCCCTTAAAACATATTTTTGTATTAGATTAGTTGTATGTATAATGTTTGATAAAACTAGTACAATTAAATGTTAAAATTTAAATGTTGATCATAATATCATTGAATTCTTAGTTTATTTTATCATATAATAATATTAAATGACATGTATTTAAATTGTTTTGTTAAAATAATATATATATATATATATATATATATATATATATATATATATATATATATATATATATATATATATATAATTTGTTAAGATATTATGTTTGTTGGGATTACTTTGTTGACAAAAAGTGATATTGATAAATACTAAACAAATAAGGAACTTGTGGAGTACACATTTGTTTAGGTTTTATCAAGTTTCAAAGTACATTATCATTTAAGGCGAAGCCCCTGAACGAACGGGGGTCCGGGGCTAGTGCCCGTGGGAGCGAGGTGTCGGGGTCCAAGGGGTGGCAGCCCTTGGCGGGGTCCAAGGGGCAGAGCCTCTGGTTAGGGTCGACCCTGGGTTTGACCCTTATCCAAATATCCATTTTTATGTCAGTTTTTATGGTTTTATGACAATTTGAAACGATCATATGACAGTTTTCAGACAGAGATTTTAAAGTCTGTTTTGGTCTCATTTCTGGTACATACAAAAATATCATCAAAACATCATCTGTTCTTGTCTCTCTGAGTCTTGTCCGATTAAAGAATATTGGGAGTACCACCCTAATACTTTAATCTCAAAATGTTTAACACAATTTTCAGAATTTTCAAGTCTTTCTATACTAAAATTTCTAACAATTTTTATTTTATTATCATGATTTTTTTTGGTATCCAAGACATGGACCAGGATTTGAGTCTCATTCCAAGTGATTCCTCTTGTATTTTTTTTTTATTATGCTTAATTAATTATCTGGCATGCATCAGATACATATTATGTGTATGAGATTAAAAACTATTCTTATCAAGGCCGATCCAAGACGATTTGAGGCCCAGGGCAAAATAAAAAATGAGACCCTTTAAGTAAAAAATTAAAAAATATAATCAAATAATGACAACTAATGTGCGAAACAATCAAATAATGACCTCTACTTTTAGGACACGTCCTGATTGCAAAAGGGCAAGACACAAAAACATAACAAATGAAGGTATTTGCACACTTGAAATATATAAGATAGTATTACGAATTCATGTAGCTTATAAAAAGTAAAAACCCCAAGGTAATTCGATTTGGTTTAGAGAATATCTACATATAAACATACATGCTAAGAACTTTAGAGAATATCTAATAATAAGAACTTTAGGACCAATATCACCTTTTCAAGTATTAAAATTTATCATTTAATCTTATATTATTCCACCACTAAAAGAGAGGACCAAGCAAAAGATAAGTAAATATTAATCTATGTTTTTTTGCACATAACAAAGAATTAATAGACTATATAGATTATACTATTTATGGGGAGAGTTGTAAGAGTACCTAAAGGTTCTTACGAGTTGTGACTCGATAATAGATTACAAATCTTTCTCCTCCACTTACTTGGCATTTCCTTTGCCTGCTTGATGGGTTGGCTTTTGGTTTACCTATTGAAAATAGTTACATGTTATTTATGTAACAAAATCAATAGCAAACAATAAAAACATGACATTTTATTATTAGAATAGATTTCATTATGACACTTCATCAAACACTTAACAGACAACTAAAATCACATATTTTTTCTCTAGGAAAGAAGCTTGTTCAAAAGAACCTAAATTTTTTGGAGGGAAATAATCAAATAAGCTTGTGCAAAAGAACCTAAATGGAATGTATAAATCGATAAACAAAGAAAATTGAAAAATATAACTAGATAAGCAATACATTACTTTTAGGTTGATATACGCAACCCATTTCAGAAATAAGAGGCATAATCAGACTCAAAATCAGTAGTAGAAACTTAAATTTGTAGCTATATATGGTAAAACTAAGAAAATGGAAAAAGAAAAGCAATAAATTACCTTTAGGCTGATATCGACATTATCCATTTCAAAAACCAGAAATCAGAGGTGCTTTCAAAATCAAGAATTGAGAGACGTATTCCCCCTATCATTTTGACAATTGCTTCTTGAGAACGAGAAGTGCTTTAGGAGGTGGGAGGAGAATTGGGAGATTTAAGAGGATGTGAGGGTCTTTTTCTTTTTTCCCGCTTACGAGTAGCAGACGTGCAAAAAAAAATGTGAACTGGTTGAAAAATGTAAAACATTTAACAACTTTACAAGCTAAGGATCGAACACGGGGATCTTATATCAACTTTAATGTCTACAGATGCTTAACCATCCCAACTGCAAGTACCTTTGATTCATTTTCGCTAATATATTATATATTATCTAAAACCACATATATAGTCATCTGCAAGATTTAGGGGCCTCGAGATTTGACGAGGCCCGGGCGGTCGCCCAACTTGCCCTTCCTCTACGATCGGCCCTGACTCTTATGGAGTGGTTTAGTGGGTATATTGTTGTACTCGGATTCCTTTGTATTCATTGGTCCGCGTCGTTTTTCAAATATGCAAAAATTAACGGCCACTTGAGCATAATATATATTAGTCATTAGAGTTAAGGGTTAGTTAAAAAAAATTGAAATGTAATTTTAGACTTAAGGTTTTAATTGTAAATTTTTTGTGTCTAAAGAACATGTAATGTAAGATCTTTTTGAAATTAACATTTTTTTATTTTAAAATAAAAACTTTATTTTCGATATAGTAGATTTTTAATTAAAAGATAAATTCCTAACTCTAATCAAATAGAATTTAATGGGCAAAGTGGTTATGATATTACAAATATTTTTTTAATACTTTTTAAAATCATGATCGTAAGATCGAATCTTATCTCGTTCACACCAACAAAGATATTTTCCACATTCAAAAACCTTTGAATGCAGTTTTATTGGGTTTTCTTGTTTCTCACTCGTTTTTTTTAATCAATACACAACAATACATCTATATACATAAAGAAATTATAATGATAATCAATTATATTTGCAAAGGGAAATGTTTTAAGAGACAAAATTATAAATATAATATGCAAAATATGATTATACAATTGTATTTACTAAGATAATAATTATATATCAAACACGATATTTAAAACTTTGCAAGCTTTTAATACATTTTGGATGACATTCGACGTGTTTGATGTATTAATTTTAACAAATATTATATAAATTAGTTTGACATATCAGCATAAAATATAGCAAATATTTCATATTTTAGATAAATTGGTAACAATTGCTACCTTGTTTATTATTAACATTATTACTATATTTATAATGACATTAAAATCCAATAATATTTCTTTAAATATCATTATGGTACAAAACATATTTTTTTTTATTTAGAGAAATTAAATTGTTTCATACTTTTTATGTCTACAAATGTTCCAAACCAATAAAATTATGATAAGTATTATCATTCCATATTTTTTTTAACTAACTCATTAAGTCTATATTAAGAATATACGAAATAAAATTAAATTGAATTGTGATTTGTCGTAATTTTAGTGGGTAGAAATAATTATAGGCATAAAACGTAAAAGATAATGTAATTTATCATTTATAAATATAGTCGTTGTGAACGGTTTATAAGTTTGATTTCTTAATAGGTTTAAATGAATCAATACAATTCAAAAAAAATGATGTAGAAACTAAAATGAATTTGAAGAATGGATAATGACTTAAAATGGTAATATATTTTTCGATTTGTACATATTTGATCAACGAGTTTTTTTTATCCAAATTTGCTCTTTCAACTTGTTTTATTGTTTATATTCAATCATTATAATTGTCCACTCTAGATAAGTCAGAAAAATTAACTTAATATGGTAATATATTTTTTACTTTATACACATTTACTCTTTAATATTTTTTTGCACATTTAGTTATTGATATTTTTTTTGTTGTAAAAAAAGATCTTACTACTTTTATACACATTCAATACTTATGACCAAATTCTTTAGGTTTTCTTACGGCATGCTATGTGGGACAATTATTAATGAAATGTTCGAGATTACTAATGCTTAATTTGTAAAGGAAAATGCAAATTTGAACTAAAAATCCAAATTAACTTTATAAAACGTAAATCAAAACATTGTACGATAGTAATATCATTATATACTTATAAATCTTGCATTTTTTCTTGAATCACATTCATTTGAAACTCCTATGACTTTTCAATTTTTTTTAATAATTATTATAAGTTGGTTAATAATATTAAATAAATATCAAACCTAAAGTGTAATCATATATAAACTAAATTTCAATATAAAAAAATATATATTTTCTTTTACTTATAAAGTTTGTTTTTAACTTTAAACATATTATATTTAATTTATTATGTCTAATATGTTGTATGTAAACCATTATCATTTTAAAGCTACAACTTTTGATCAATTTGTATAAAATACTTAAATTATTAATTTAAATATAACTTTACAAGATCAATTTAAACAAAAATTTTAGTTGAACTTAAACAACCCAATGAATATTATATAAATAGTTAA